CATGCTGGCTGGGGAATTCTGGGAGTTGAAGTCCACACATCTTAAAGTCGTCAAGGTTGAGAAACACTGATCTAAGGCATTACATCCTTGGAGGCAGACATGCACCCACCACTAAGGATGTAATATTTTACTGCTGAGTGGAAGTCAGACGTTTTAGATCCAGATATTTCAAGTCCAAAGAGCAATTATAAAAACACTGGCAAAAAAACGGAGTCCCTTTCTCACGCTCCATCCTCTCCCAGTGCTGAGCTGTCATTTACTTTCTCTTTTATTGTCTCTTAACACTTCTACTAACAGTTCTTGCAATGTCTGCAATACTCACTTGGAGACTCTGCAAGCTGGTCCTGCTTTTCTTCTCTTTCCTGGTACTGAATTAAATGGGACCACAATGCAGATTTTCCCTTTTCATAAGAACAAATAGATCATTAGAAACTTAAACTGTACCAGAACACAAGATACATTAAGTCTCATGCTATCTTCCCTCCCAGTCAAAATCTACATGAAACTCCTGGAAGATGTCATTTGCCAATTTGGGGTTCGCTATCATCAATATGCTGATGATACCAATTATATCTTTTGACTCTGCACCACCCAAGTGAGGCTGTTCAGGTGCTGTCCCAGATGGCTGTGCGGGCCTGGATAGAGAGGAGGGCTTTTCAACAGCTTCATGTGCTGCTGGTTGTGCCCTTTCCTAGACTAGGAGGCCCTTCAGTCACTCATGCCCTAGTCACCTCACAGCTTGATCACCGCGATCAGTTAATTTATACTTCAGGACTAGGAAGATAGTAACATTCCCAACCAAGTGCACTGTAGATGTTTTAGAGTGCAGCTCCAATCATGCGTGATCATGTTGGCTGGATTTGATGAAGAGGATGCCACATTGAGGCAGATTGCACCATGATAAAAATTCTGGAATTAAAAGGGTATCATGCGATTGTACTCTAAGTTCTTAGGGAGTAGAAATAAGGTTCTTCAGGAATACAGCACTCTTTGCTATAGTAAATCCTAAGTTTAACCTTGACAACTCCAGGAACTACTTGATGCTTTGGTCATCTTATGCTAATCAGAACAGATAATGGTTCAATTGTGTAAGACCATATTAAGATATTTTCAAATATTTCCAAAAGTCTTCCAAGATGAAAGGGACAAGCTATTCAGCAATGAAAGTTTTAAACAAACAAATGTAAGGAGGTAATATAGAAGATGAGTATATTTGAGTTTTCAAGTCACTGACCTGTTTGACCTGTAATCCATGGCTCCAAATTCTTTCCAGCAAATCACAAAGACTAGCAATGAGTGTATTCTCTTCTAGACCTGTGATATTGGCCTCTCCATGTCCAAGTTCTACTGCTTCATGACCCATCTTCTCCACTAGCATACGTTTGGTCTACAAATAAACAAGTGATTTATGAAGCATAAAACCCACAGCTTAACCGATGCCTTTTCTGGGTACAGTGTGAAATGGCAAAAGGCAACTACTTCGAATGTAGTATCCTGCCTTTAGAATACTCTCAACAGGAAGATTCACTTGGAATCATGATGTTATCTCCTCTGTGCCAGAAAAAAAGTCCCATTTATTATTCTAAAATTTTAAAATAGGTTTTATGCTGTTCTAAATGCCTGGGTGGGGGGGGTTGGTTTTGTTTTTTGTGGTTTTAGAGAAGATCCTGTTCTTTCTTATGATTTAATTTTACATGTAAATTTTGGAACTAGCCCTGAAAAAATAATACCAAAGGACAATACAGATCTGTTTATTCAAGAGTTATTGGATAACAATACATATATTATACTTTGCTTTAATTTCTGTCCATGTGAATTTCAATTCTAGTTGAATTGTTATACTAAGTAAGCCACAAAGTGGAACTCTCACTCAATTAGCATGCAGGATGGTGACCTTTTATGTAGTCTTCCAACTCAAAATCCCAGAAGAGCAAAAATGAAAGGGGAGGGGAAAATATCAGCCTTTAATATAAAAAACACTCCCTGTGCTATTCATAATATACAAATCACCCTAAAAGTAAGTTCCTATTTGCATGTCTATATTTTTCAGCAGGAAATCACACAGCCAGAAACAAGCATTATTAGTATCTCTGTGGGGTGGGGGGCTCCCTATCTTCATAGCATGGATGTTCTGTCTATGCACATGCGTATAACAAACTTACCTTCATTCGACATTCTTTGAGTAAACCTTCTACAAATTTCCAATTTGTCTGAGCAATTACAGCAGGAGAAAGATCAGAGAGTTTGGGCTGTCTGAGATTTTTCCCCAAGGTCCTTGCTTCTTGCATGTATTTCTAATCCAGTAAGAAAAGAGAACATGAATGAACACAAAAAACAGAGCAGATAACACTGTCCTCCTTAATCTCATAGGGCTGGCTAACTCACATTGTACTAAAATGTAGTAATTATATGTCACAGAAATTTGAAGCTGGCAGCAGAAGGTACTAGTGCAGGGATTTTTAAAAAATATTTTGGGGAAAAAGCATTATCATGAGGAACCCTATCCTTTAGGGAATTTTGTCTTGTTTGCATGTAATGGCATTTACATGAATGCACAAGCAGAATGCTTCAGTGAGTAACATGGGCATCTGCAGGAATTGTTTTTAAGAGGATGCCATATATACAGTCTACCAGATTACCAACAGACTAATATTTCTGCTCACTGGCCTTGGAGAAATATGCAGACCAGGCTGATCCTGTGCTGTTTCTCAAAAGGCAGACCTCCTGCTCCTCAGTAAATAAATCTGGGGATCAGGAACATCTTCTCACCAGGGGATGAAATGCTCAAATTTGCCTGGCTTTGTTCATCCCTTCTGATCTTGGATTAAGCTCACTGCTACTATGAGTCAACTTCATGGTTGATTCCTCCGGTCTGTATGTCCCTAAATAAATAAATACACACATGCACACAAAAGAATGGACTACACTACTGCAGGGTTGTCAGAAATTCCTATAAGACTTACCTGCCCCTAAAATATAACTGTATTACAGTTATCATGGATTTCATTTGGCAGTAACAGAATTTTAAATATCAAACAGAATGTTTTGTATATGGAGGCAAGCTTTCACCTAGCTTCGGTTGGTGTGTCAGCTGCAAGCCTTTGGGACTGGAAAGCCCTAACAACTGTGACTCAGGTACTTATCACCTCATGTTTCAACTACCACAATGTGCTTTACATGGGGCCACCCTTGAAAATGACTCTCCAGCTGCAACTTGTCCAAAATGCAGCAGTCCGAGTAGTGATGGGAAGATACAGGTTAAGTGATGTTACACCTTTGTGGAATTCACTGCATTGATTACTGACAGACTTCTAGCCTCAGTCCAAAGTGCTGGTTTTATCCTTTTAAGCTGTACATGTTCAGGCACAAGGGTACCTACAGAAGTATTTCTCCTGACCAGAATAAGCTGGATCTGAGCATTCATCCCAAGAAGGATTGCTGAGGGTCCCCACTCCACAAGAGGTGAAGGGAGGACACTTTCTTGGTGGTGGCCTCCACGTTATGGAACACTTTGACATGTTCACTTTTGGCAACGTTGTTAAGACCAAACTGTTCCAATCAGCTGTGGTGTAGACAGTAGACCTGGGTGGCTTCTGTAACTGATTATTGTATTATGCTTATGTTGATTTCATGGGTCTTTTTATTGTGGTTTATTGAACCACCTTCAATCGTTTGAAGTAGGCTGGTACACAAACCTTTGAATGAATGATGGTACATTGGATCTACCACTGTACCATCAATGTACCAAGATCTACATTGAGCAAACTCATAAACTTCCATCTTCATCCTAAGGTTAGGGTATGCTATATAATTCATAATCTTGTACTATAGGCTATAACAACACTCCATAGTTCACTCCCCGCCCCAAATTATTCTGAAGGTATCAAGCAGCAAATGACTAGAAAAAAGAGAGAACAGTGTAATGAAGAAAACAAGAAAGAGGAAAAGGAAAGGGAATAGGAATAGGAAGGGAATTTGTGACAGCCATTCAAAAAGAGGTTCTAATTGGATAAGTGAGAATAAACACCCAGTGAAATTGGTCTTTACACACTGCTTTGATAACACTAATTAAATTTAGATGTAGAGAAATTTCTAGCTAGCAAGGCAGCTAGGAATGGACTTCAGAGAACATGCAGCTGTCTGTTTCCAGAGGCCCAAAGCCCAGCTTCAGCAAATAACTGCCAAGGATGCTGCAACAGCAGCAGGTGAGAAGTCAATGATAAAAAAGAACTGACATCACAACCAGGGTAGCTAAGAGCATGCTGGAGCTCATCAGGATGACACACATGTGTGTTTGTGTACGCGCATGCATGCGCATGAGACAGCAAGAGAGAGATTTACAGAAAACTAATCTGGGCAGGCTCATAGTTTAAAATGCCTGTTTTATTTTTACTATGAAGATATGTTTTTATTTGAAAAAAATACATGGCCATCTATATTATATAGATAGAATCGCTCGGTTGAGATAGGCAGCTATAGATATTAAATAAATAAATACAAATATAAAGCAACTGTAGGCAGCTGACAAACACACAAATAATAAAAACACAAGATTAAAACACCCTAATGGTACCCTCTCAAAAAACAAAACCAAAAAAAAAGCTGAGCTCACCTCTAATCACACCCCAGTGCCTGAGGAAAAAAACAGGTCTTAATGGTCTTCTAGAAGGCAAGACAGGTAGGGACCCTCCGTAACTCCATAAGGTAGGCCCAGCTATGGAAAAGGCTCGCTTCCTAGGCCCTGTCAGATGACATTTAATGAAGGGGACCTGGAGCGAGTCCACCCTGTCCAATCTAGTAGGACAGGTGGATGTCGTCAGGGAGAGTCAGTCCCACAAATAAACAATTTTTTGCATATTCCCAAGTAATACACATGGGTGTCTAAAAGGTCTCCTAATAAGACCATTAAAACTAGAGTCTAAAATCACTTAACTACACTATTGAAGTCCACATTTTCATTTTTCACCAGCCCTGGTGAAGATGAATCTGATGGTCTCCTGAGATATCCTACTGTAATGCTGATACAAATCATGGACCCCTGGTGCTGCAGGGACAACTTGACCAATTAGAACCACACTTTCAATGACCACAGAGATGTGAGTGATGGTCTACCAGATAAAACAGCAGTGGCTAGCGTGATTAGGGAAGCAGCTCTTGGAAAAATTTAAAGAACATCACGTACCAGGCAACATTCAGAGAATGATTTTTTAGGTGGCCGTGAAGGAGGGGGCAGGCCCTGATCCCACTCCCAGAACGCCATCGAGTTCTGGTGAATCAAGAACTCCTCTGATGGCTTGGAGGAGGCAAACAGAACCCATGGCAGAAACAGCAGATAGAGAAAAAGAAAATGATGAAATATGCATGCACATGAATCAAGGGAAAGTATCCCAAACGGGAAGGTGGGGAGTAAATACAGCACAGATATAAATAAATTCAAAGTATGGAAGAAGTTTACGTTAACTAAGGCAATTTTTTTTAAGCTCACTTCCCCTAAAAGAAAATGATGAACAATGGCTTGAATCATGATGAAAAGGTTGTGCTTTAATTGATATTCCTTAAAACAAGGGAGAAAGTGACAAGCAAATTAAAAACACAGACAGATTCACGTTTTAAGAAAGAATGTGGGAATCTCCCAGTTTCAAATTCAGCTATAAACGGATCATTTCCCATTTTTAAAAGACTTACAACACTCCATACAAAAGGATTGCTTCTCTTTGGATAATGCTAGAGAGGAAAAATTATTATTGGGTGTTCAAGATTCTGTATGATTTTTTCAATTCTGGAAAGATTATTAAATTGGTATTTGTTATTTATATGAACTTGGAATAACAAGATTAACTGTCTTGTACTGGCAAACCAATAGAAGATGACTTTAAATAACATAAATTTGTTTCTTAATTTAGTTTAATTTAGTTTCCGATGGAATGTAGTGAGGAGCACACAGCAACAAAATTACTTTACGAATACTTCATGCCTCAAAATATTCATTATTGAATTTGATGGAAGAATCATGCTGGTTGGAGATGACTTTTGAATAATGTTGTCAAAGATGTGGGAGTTGTTCTGTTTAATATGGAATAGGGATACACCAAACGTTCTGCATATAAACTGTTCCATGCAGGGAAAAAGCTGGTTTTGAACAAGCTGTGCCTAAACTGAAACACGTGTTTTGGATGTTCTGGTCCATCCATTGAATGAAGTGGGACTGTTTTGTGCTGAGGTGGGATGAAACCCTGCTGTTCTGGGCAGAAGTAATTTGGGGGAGATAAGAGTGGGAAGAAACAAAGGACACTGATAGTGGCTATGGGGAGGCATGGGAAGCAGGGAGAGAAAGGAACAGTTAGCAAGTGGGCTAGGAGGATATGACATATTGGGATATTGGTAGCAGCTGAAGAGAGCCAGAGCAGGAGAAGAAGAGAAGGGAAGGCAGCTAGAATGTCAGAGATGGGCCTGCAGATGGGAAGAAGACACAGGGGAGATGGGAGGATGGAGAGGATGGTGTCAACTCTTCAAGGTAGGTCAGATCAAGAAAGACAACACAGGCATTCCAGGAATGCTACTCTATTGATGTAGGTATCATAACAGAATCTTGAAAGTCTATCCAAAACATTCACTGTCCCTTTTTAGGCACAACAAGGTCAAGACGGGGTTGTTCTGAGCCTCTTTCCTAGGGCTGAGCAACCATTTCACTTTTCCCGCCTCCTTCTCAAAGCCAGAGTTACTCCTCTGTAGCCACCCAGCAGGACACGCTGTGCTGAGAGCTGCCAAGGTGAAGGGCAAGGGATATCAGCCTTGTCGCATTCATCCTATAAAAACACTCAGGGATCCCTCTGCATTTTCTTCTATCTGAAACCCAGAACAATCCAAACATTCCAGATTTTGTTAATTAGTTTAGCATAATTATTTTTTTTCTTTCAATATCATTTTTTTTCAATTACAAAGTTATGCATGTATTTTGTATTTTGCACTGGTTAAGAACCAGTTTGGTGTAGTGGTGAAGGCATCAGGCTAGAAATGGAAGACCATGCCCACCTTAGGCACAAAGTCAGCTAGGTGACCTTGAGCCAGTCACTCTCTCTCAGCCCTAGGAAGGAGTCAATGGCAAACTACTTCTGAAAAACCTTACCAAGAAAATTGCAGGGACTTGTCCAGGCACTCTCCAGGAATCAAAAATTGACTTGAAGGTGCACACATACACACACACACACACACGCACACATAGGAAAAAACTGGTTATGAATCAGCCCTTCGTTGCATGTTACTAAATGATTCAAGAAGAATTTGGAAAATATTTATATAGCTACAAATGATCAAGTTTTGTAGAAACCTATGATTTTATCAACTCAACTTCAGCACTTACCTCCCTTAACTCATTGTCCAGGCCAATGTGTTCTGAATGTTGTCGAATACGATCTTTCCTCCGCTGGGCAGTAGCACTGCGACTCACCCACCGACTACAGTTATTTAATAGAAAGGGAACAGTGAGAAAAAACTGTAACAAATGTCAGACATGCTCATTTCGTAGAAAACACATGCTTTTGTTCATAAGCCTCACACCTCAGAAAGGGAAATGCACACAAGGGCACATTATGAGCCAGACAGAAAGTGAAGGAAATAACTGAGAAAATACTGGCCGATGGAATCATAACATTCAAAGAATCTCAAAAGTTGCCTAGACTGATCCTATCCAGAAAACGTGGTTGTTTTTTCACTCACAGAGGCATTTCCATTCACAGGAGTGCTTAAACACTTTTTTTTTTCCTTTAAAGAATTAGATGAAAAATATAAATCACAATGGTGTGTTATCAGATCTCATATACACCTTCCCAATTGCTCTGCCAACCTGCATTATATGCAGTATGTTCTTTTGTAAGTCATTACAAAGAATTACAGGATAATTAGCTGAGATTAGCGTATTAGCGAGCTTATCTAATCACTTCGATTCTACAGCAATCATTTCTGATTACTCCAAGCTAACTAGCAGCTAGAAATCAATTGAGAAAAAAACCTAAATGGAGATGTGAGCTCCTGCTTAATTAGAATTGATTTTTTTTTAAATCAGAATGAGGAAAATAAGAATAAGAATGGAAATATTAAACATTTAATATTGGACTGAACTTGGGAAATCTATCTGCTAACATTCAGTGTTCCACTAGTAAGGTTTAAATGTAAGGTCCAGTGTACAAAGATAAGCGCAGTTGTAATATAAGCTTTCTAGACCAATGTTTCTCAGCCTTCACAACTTTAAGATGTCTGGACTTCAACTCCCAGAATTCCCCAGCCAGCCATGGTGGCTAGGGGATTCTGGGAGTTGAAGTCCACACATCTTAAAGATGCCAAGATTGAGAAACACTGCTCTATACCGATCTACATAAGGGCAGTACGTAAGATATGCTACTTATTATGATCTATATAAGGGCAGAGGCTGCCCTCATTGACATTTCTAGATATTCATTGGGGAACCAAACAGAAAGTACATTAGAGTGTCTTCCTCAAACTGACAGTTCCAGATATATTGGAATTGTAATTATAGTTGGATGGGAATTTTGGGAGTCCAACATCTGAAAAGCACCAGGCGTAATAGTTTGGGGGAAGGAACAGACTACCTATGTTTCCCAGTAAATAAAGGAAATAGTATATATCACTACACTGCTATACATAAACTACGATGATTATATGTTTCAAACCCTACTTGTTATTGATAGGTCCTGCTGCCAACACATCTGACTGAAGTTTGGGGAAGAAACCTTGCTCATATTTGCCTTGACCTATCTTCATATCAAGCAAATGTGGATGAATTGCAGTGTGATCCATCTTTATCAGCCGTTGTTCAATGGCCTGAGCTGAAAGCAATAGACAAACAGTTGTATGAAAAGTTTAGTGTTTCTTTTAAACAGAGAAATCCTACGTGTGTACATATCATGTTTACCTCTGGATCCTGCCCACCTGGAGTATTATTTTATCATTTCATTCAGGAGAGGCAAAAATAATAGCCATTAATGGATGAACTTATTCCAGGTTTTGGGAAGGCTTGATGGCGAAAAAGAAAGTACAGGGAATGTTTTCATTCCTGACAAATCATTGGGGTTGTAGGCAAAAATAAACAAGTCAGGCAAAAGACTGTTGGACAGTCAAGAATTTCAAGTCAGGGGAACCAAAGGAAATAGAATTGTAGGTCACCTCCAACAGAGTTCCTTTCAATAAATTTAGGAAGCTGCACAACAGAGAGAAATTCAACATCTTTCTTCAATAGCATACTTACAATAAGAAAAGCCCCAGCCAATTAGACCTATCCATTGATATCACTTCAAGTACAGTCACCCCCTTAGATTAAGACAATGTGTAAAGGGAAATAATTTCAGAGCCAATTGTTTAAATACAGCTCCTTCCAAGCTGGGGCCCTTGAAATCCATCAGATTTCAAATCTCTTTCACAATCTCCAACCAATATGTCCATTGTCCTTGGCCATCAATTATTGATGAATTATTTATTTAGAGTAATTGTATGCCACTTGAAGTCTCCCATAACCCATTGGTTTAATCAAATTACATAATCAAACTACTCTGATTATGTGAATCAGGGATAGGCAACATGGTGATTGCACCCCTAAATGTATACAGTCCTCCAAAATTTATTTAAAATAGAATTTTTGAAATTTTGAAATCTTGCATGAAATTTTATTGAGCTCATATAAGATCTCGAACTGTGATTTCCAAAGTTTGTGAGATTTCAGCTACATCATGCATTTTGAGATCCTTGTCAGGGATTCCTAGCTCATTGCACAATGGTCCTGAGCTGTTGAAAAGATGTCAGACTCCCACATAAATCGTAATTTTGCCACAGCTTATCAGTAATTAATTGTTATAATGTGTTTTCTGACTGCATATCTTTGAAAGCTTCCAACTGGCATAAAATACAGTACGCCAAAGTTTCTCAACCTCAGAAATGTGAAGAAGCCTAGGAAATTTGGGAGTTGAAGTCTATACCTCTTCACGTTGCTGAGGCTGAGAAACATTGCAGCATTCCATTGATTAACCATTATTGCTAGCAGAGTCAGGAATCACTGCTGGTTAGTCTCTGGGAGAAATTAATTTAATCCCTTAGAGCCCCTAACCAGGTTGCTTTTTCCCATCCCTGGAATAAAAAGACATCATTTGAACTTGAATGATTTGAGATATTCAGTTCACTCCTTGACCTCCCCAACCTCTGCCCAAAATGGGTCCCAAATTTGGCACTGGCACACTAACCGCACACTTCTGCAGCCCTAGGAGACCAACCAATTAAAAGAGCAGCCCCAGGAGAAAGCTGAGGTTTCTTCTGCTCTATTTTTAGATCATTTAGTTTTAAATCTGTGGCAGGAAGTACCTAGCTTGTACTGATAATAGATACCCCACTAGAAAACTTTACAGAAGAATGGAACAGAACAGTCAAAATACTTTAAAATAATAAACAAGGCCCAACTCAGATATCCCCGCCTTCTTAGATTCACTTGGAGACTTAAATATACCTTTACAGAGATGGCATCTTTCTGGACATCAACCCAGAGAAGGTTACTATTCCCAAATAACTAGTGAAAATCCTAATATCCTAACTCAAGCAATATAACTTCCAAATAGCAATAAGGCTATTTTTCTCCCTCTTTATTAAAAAAGCAATTTAACGTAGAAAATCTACCAATACCTGCTTCTTTTAATGTGCTGCACTTCTGGTATGTCGATGTTCTTAGTGTGGGAATCCTGACATTATAGAGTCTCATTTTTTCAATTCGGGAGTCAAACACTCGGAGAAATGGATCTTTTTCTTCCCATTGGGACATAATTTTATTGTCGATGAATGTTGCAAACATTTGGGTTTCAATGAAGTGGGAGAGGAAAGGAAGGTAAGGCTCCGGTTGATCTGAAAGAAATGAAGCCTAGAGCGAGAGAGAGGAGTCAAAATGAAACAAAGGCAGTTACATCATTTGTTCTCATCTCATTATTTGCTGATATGCAAGGTCCAATAACAAAAGATAACTGCAATAGGGAAAAATCAATAGAGGCTGGATTTCATGGTGCAGGCAACAGCTGACAACCTACCAGTCAGTATCAGCTTTAACTCTTCACAGCAGCAACCAGCTGGAATGGGGAACACACGACAGTTCAGAGAAGAAGATGGTGCACAAAAGATATCTCCCCATATTGTTTCCCATGTAAATTATGTTCACATCAGTCACCATATAATTATTTGGTGGGCTACAAGGAGCATGACTGTAATGGGGGAAGCATGTTCCACTCAATTCACCCAAAAGCCAATTGGGTGGGAGCGTGTGAATTTGTTCTATTGTCACTCTGATTGCAAACATGAACAGGACACAGGTGGAGCTGGACAGCTCTCTTAGGGGCTAAATATCCAGGGCTAAATCCTTCAACAAAGGAGAGCCTTAACTGGATCACAGGAAAACTGCATAAAAACGTTTTCTGAAAGAGAAAGAATTAAACCTCTTTGCAAATCCTACTAGCCTTTCCACCCATGAACAAGAATACATTTTTTTTAAAAAAAGGTAAGCAGGAACAACAGCCTAATATTTCATAACATTTCAAAAGGGAGAAAAATTGATACCAACTTTGGTTTAGACAAATTTGATTGAAATTTCTTCTCTACTGTTGTTCCTCTCGCCCTTTTTGCAATCAAAATAACTGCACATGAAATTAGCTTCCACCAAGTCATGCTAGTTGGATGATCTGATCCACGTATCTTCTACAACTGATAGTATGTCTCTAAACAAAAAACTTAAAGCAAAGGTCTTTGTCAACCTTACTTAGAAATCTTTTTAATTAGAGGTAGATTGAATGTAGCATTATATGAGCTAACAGTGAGCTTTGGGCATCCTAAAGACAAGGCATCTAAATTAGTTTAGAAGAAAAAACTTTGGTTTCTTTTACTTTGTCAAAATTTTGCATCTGTTCCCTGTTGGTCAGCCAGGATTCCCTGTCTTGTGCCGCTTGAATGACAAAAGCTTCATAATCGGAAAACATCTGTGTGAAGCGGTTGGCAAAGACCTCCCGGAGCTGCACATTCAGCTTGTAGTCCTTCAGCTCCTGTTCATCACAGTGGAGTTTAACATCTCTTTCTTTTTCTGCCAGAGAAGCAGTAATAGCCATTTTGTCTACTGCCACTCCTGTCCTCTTTGCCAAAGCATGCAGGCGAGCAATTGTCTCATTGCCTTTGAGGAACTCATACATGTTGATGGTGTTGCTGGGCACATTTCCGTTCTTTTTGTCATTGGCCAAGTCATTAAGGACAAGGTTTTTTAACTTGGTTGCGCTCTCGCTACAATGATGGCGACCCTCAAGGGGAATCCCAAAGTGAAGGAGAACTTCTGAGATTTCTTGGATGAAATCCAGCTTATTGGGAAACTGAGGAAGCTCTTCTGGTAACTCAATGAAGTGATTATCAATATCCACAAAACAGAGGTTGGCCTGGAAAAAAAAAAAAACCAATAAACCAGCTTTGCAACAGAGGAGTTTTACTTCTTATATATTTACGCAGAGAATTGAATGTGTAGATACAAGGATGTAGGATAAAATCCCCTTCTTGTTCAAATTAGCAAATAGTACTGGTAAACTCAAAATTCAACCTACATTTACCTTGCAGGAATATTGCAAAAACACAAAGAACAAACAAAAGGAACACCTTTCAGTGTTTGTATGGTAATTACTGACATTACTGTATGGCTCTGAAGATACCAGTTATCCAGTATTATAAATAATCTTAGCTTATTCAAGGATTAGTAGTATTATGCTCCTTATGCTTGGAGCAGCTAAATAAACCTGGATACCACCATGACTTATTTAGGATGTACAATTAATCAGGATCTCTGGCTTGTTCCTCTCTAAACAAGCTGGAATCAGAAGTCAAGAACAAACTGAAGTTCTTAGTTGACATGTGACACTGTTACTGGCCAAGCAATGCTCATTTCTGGATAAACCAGAAGGAAATATTCTCACTTACTGCCATATATGAGTGCAGCCTGTGGGTGATCAAACTACCATCATTTGCAAATCTCAATTTGCTCATGTATCTTAATCACCCACACTAAGATGCATTATAGAAGAACTGCTCACATTTTGATGCCTATAGCAGTTTTATCTTGTATGTTCATGCAACTAGAATAAGACCCATGTCTACTATTGGGTTTTTTTTAATTTATTTTTGTTCTCATGACTGTGGTTTTTTTTACAGAGATTGCAGGTTTTATTCTTTTTGAATTACGTACTTGCCAATTTGGGATACAAATCAAAAGGGCATTAGATCAATTAAAAAAAAAAAGCACTCTAACCCTGTAAAGAGGTAAAGCAGAAAGAAGTTACATCATAATTAAATTACAAAAAAATAAAATAAAAATAGCAAATATACCTGGAACATAATAGACAAAGGAAAATGTTTATTAGAAAATCCTTGGAGGACATGTCAAATTAAATATTTTCAAACTCTTTCAAATTGATTGGAACCAATGCCGGGCTATTCAAATTTGGCCCAAATATCCTTTTGCCATGTTTGTAAGTATAAAGGAAATCATTTGCTTCTTGTTAGTAAAATCAAAATTTTCCTGCCTAAGCTGTTGCTTGACAATAAGGCGAACTGTCACTATATTTGAATGGATTCTCTGAAGTATAAACCTCTGTTTGGGACTGAAGAATAAAATGTATTAAGGGCTTTGATAGCAATCAGTGAAAGCCCAGATGCAGAGGGATACCATGGAAAAGACTAACTCTTCCTTTTAGGCTGAACTTGTATCTGGAACCCACTGGTCAAGATTTGCCTGTGTTAAGTGAACTGACTGTTGAAGCAAATTTATTTTCCCAAAAAGCTGAGTCCCTATATTTACATCTGAAACTGGGGACCCCAGGGGATGGGGGAATTAGTGAGGTGGCTCCCTTATTTTTTAACATCCTTTTATTCTTTGTTTTATTTTGACTTCTATATTTTTAATGTATTTATTGACTTTTTTAGCTTTGTTGTACCTTACCCAGAGTTGCTTGTGGTGAGATGGGCAGCTATATAAATTGGTGTAATAAATAAATAAACAAATAAACATACCTGAAGAAGTGTAACATGAAACCTACAGATTTACAAAGGCGATGGCAACTCATTCTTGTTCGCCTTTGAATGGACGTTTCATTGCTATGTTGAAGAACTCCACATTTGAGAACATGCTTTTAAGAGGAGGAGAAAGGATTATAACCTGAATTAAAGGCCAACATTTGAGGATGCTCAAATGTTGGAAAATATTTTTAAAACACATCATGAAGCAATGAAGGATTCCGAATCCAGCATTCCAAGGTTATTTTTGATGGGCTATATGTAGAATTCAGTTCTCTAGGATTCCCATACTTATTTTGGATGGGGAAAGGCAATCTGTTTGCAAGAGCAACAGTAAAATTGTCTGCAGTATTGTAATTCTTTCTCCTCTTTCAGTTTAAATAGACTACCATCTATCAAGAGTTCATTTCAAAGGCTTGTTAAACCCTACTTAATATTCTAAAAATGCGAAATGAGATTTGAACCCAGAAAATCTGAAGAGATCATCTCTTCTAAAAGCACCCCATGACAACATGATGGCTGAGTAGCACCCTGAAGAATGTCCGATGACCAGCTGTTAGAATTTTATCCAGAATGCACAAGTGGTTTTATATTTAGCCCCTGAAGCTAGCATCTGGTCCTCAGCAAGAAAAAGAAGGTAGAACTGCTGTTCCCTGGCACTCCTAGACTAAAGGCTGAAATGCTGTTTCAAAAGGCCCACTATTGAATTTAATCTCCAGTTTCTTCCCCTTATTTGTGGAGCCAGTTGTGTTTTCCCTAGCCTGATGCCTCTCAAATATATTCATCTGAGAAGATGCAGTCTCAGTGGGTGTAAAAACAGCTTCGACAAAAATTAATAACTGCAAGGATTTGCAAATTAAAGTCCAAATAATTTCCTAAGACAGAAGCTGTAATCCTTAACTACCACTACCCAGAGCAAGTAGTACAACCAAACATTTATTTAACTGGATTTACTACGGTCCTCTATTTACAAACAGATGCAGTTGTTTCTAAAATCTAATTTGGCTGATGGTGCAGTTAAACAAACCACAGAAGTACATTCCATGATTTGTTTATTGTGATTCACAAGTTAGGAACCCTGGACTGTCTCTTCCAGAAAAATCAGAAATTGAAGGTCAAGAAGAAATCATAGCTTCTGATACAGAAGGAGGAGAATAAACCAGAATCTGCACATGTTGGTTAAAAAAAGCCACAACTAATCAAAAGCAAGTATCTCTAACCTCTTCATCTTGGCAGCTAGTAAAAAAGGAGGGGATAATATACTGTAAACTGCTAAATTCGTGCAGATTTCACTAAAACCTTTATCTGAATATACGGCAAATCCTTCTGTCATATCCCCAAAACCCTCAATAAGGACCAGGTTTATTGTAGCATAAAATATTTATTAGAGTTGTGCAATGTGTTGGGTTTTATCTATAATTCATCTGTAAATACAGCACCTTTCTCCAACACCTTTCAATGATTTCACAGGTTGTAGAAGGAGGAAGATTCAGCAAATTCTAGATATTACTGTTTTTTAAAGTTTGCATTAAACTTTAAAAATATGAAAAAATATTAAATATGAAAAAGAGAAAAGACACACACAAAATTACACAAAGGAAACAACAACATACTATGCTACATATAGAAATCATTCAACCTAGTTTTTAAATACATCATTAAATCTTGACCATATGATATCATATTGATCAGATTTTTCATTATATTGATACACAATCAGTCATCAACACAAAGTAAATATATATTGACAATCAAAGATTGATTCAACTATAGGCTTCTCTATTTCATCAGAGCCCTATACACTAATATGTCTCTTAAGGTCAGGTGCAATGTGCAAGGGTTTCTCTCGAAGCTGGGTAAAACTCAAAAGGGGGTAAAACAGGGATGCATTTTGGCCCCCCTGCTTTTCAACTTTTACATCAGTGGTATGGTGAGATATCTAGACAATCCAAATTTCCATCCCCCTAAACTAGTGGATTGCAGTATTGCCCTGCTGCCTTATGCAGATGACGCTGTAGCTCTTTCCACAACACCAACAGGCCTTAAAAGAGCTCTGAGAACTCTGGTCCAATACTGCAACAATGATCACCTGGAAATAAACTATCAGAAAACCAAGATTATGGCATTTGCCAAAAGGCTGAAGTTCCATCCATGGAGCATAAATGGCCACAGAATAGAGCAAGTGACTTGCTTTAAGTATTTAGGAGTAGTCATGCATGCCGCCAGCTCGAGGAAAGCCCACTGTGAATGTGCTGCTGCTACTGGACAAAGATCTGCCAATGCCTTCCTAACATGTTTCTGTTCTAAGGGAGGATATTATGTTCCAACCACATTTAAGCTCTTTCAGGCTAAGCCACTAGCCCAGCTTCTTTATGGGACTTTGGTTGCCCCCCCAGCTTCTTGTTTCACCTCCTTGGAGGGGGTACAATCTAAATTCATCAGAGCAGCTCTCCAGATACCTCCTTGCGTCTCCCACACATATTTACGATTGGAGATAGGTGTGATAAAAGTTGAGTCAAGAGTGTGTCTAGTTTCTATAAACCATCGGTTAAAGCTTAACTTTTATCCTCAAGGCCTGACACCATTAATTCTTCAGGAGAATTTTCAGTCCACTTGGGTCAAGGCTGTTGAATCTAAACTTTTACATCTAGGCTACTCTCCCTTCTTGGTTCTTAAGATGGAATATGATCAGGTGAAACAAACCCTGAAGGAAAGGATAAAGGATACGGAACAGCAAAGAGATCTAGGGAGGGCCCTAGCCTTCCTGTCACCAGTACACAACAGATATATTATCATTGCTGCCGGCTACCATACACAGCTAGAAACACCCAGCCATCAGAAAGCGTTCTCTTTTGCCCGATGTCACTGCAGTATTGGATGGTAAATATATAAAAAAAGTACCATTAGCTAAAGGGCTTTGCCCCTGATTCCGGAGGAAACTACAGAACGTGTTCTTCTTCGTTGCTCCTTTTATCGAAACGTTAGAACCAGATTCGTCCTACCTCTGATTAGTAGATATCCTGGTTACTCTGATGCAGCCTATGGGCAGATGCTGCTCAGAGGTGAACTGCCTTTTGTTACAGCGCATGTGGATAGATTTTGTGCAGCAGCACAGAAGATCCACCAGATCCTGATGGGCCAATTTTCCGCTAGCCAAACGCATTTTATGTAACTGTAATTCATTTAAATTTTAGATATTATCATTTTTAAAATAATTTTAGATGTTGTTATACTTTCTATGATTTTAATGTTTACTTTATAATTTAAAATATAGACTGCATCCCAGACCTCACTCATAGATGCTAGTTAGGTTGTTTTATGAACGTATTTTAACTTCGTCTTAAATTCTATTTCATTTATTATCTATTAAGATAGATTTATATATATTTACAGTGCACTCTGCTTGTACTGGTCTATAATCATAATGAATTGAATTGATTGATTGAACAGTCATCTTTTTGGCAGCACCCCACGCTCAATAATCCTTTAATTGTTAATTCAGTGATTGGTTCCAAGTTTTTGATGCATAATTCAAAAATACATTCACATCTTTTTCCTGTACTGACCTTTGCAACACCATATTAACACATTTACAGATATGAAATCAAAGCAGGCCAACTGGAGGATAAGGCCAAACTATATCAACAAGTGTCCTCTCATTCATTTTTCATTTTCAACATAAGGAAGTAAAACCCAACTCATTTTAAACACCCTTTGAGTTTTCCAATAAACATGAAAAAAAACCTTTTTATAGTCTCATATTAAGATCATAAGAAACAAACTTAATGTTTTAAGACCATTAAGGATTGATCCGTTTTACAGTTTGACTTTTTAATGGATTAATTTTAATTATTATTTATTATTAAATAATAATTAAAATTATTTAATAATTAATTAAAATTATTTAAATGTTTTTTAATTGTTCATGGGTTTTTGGTTTTAATTGTGAGCTGTCCAGAGTCACCCTTTGGGGGAGATGCGCGGCATACAAATTTAATAAATAAGTAAATAAATTGTTAATATGCAACTCTTTTTTCCAGAGTTCTTGGAAGTAACTAATCTCCAACTTAAGGATATTCTTTATAAATAGTGATACTGTTTATAAGTATACTGTAGACTGAGAATCATCTAAAGCATGTTCCAATATTGATTGTAATTTGGGATTTTTAGACCCCGCTAATGTATCTGATTGTCAAATCAGATACTTTAATTGTGTATTGAATCAACTGCAGTTTCAGGCTGTCCAAATTCCTCTTGCAATAATTTAAATGATCTAAAGCTTCATTATCAATAAGCTGATCTAATATATTAATACTTATTGTTGTCCATGAGTTAGGAAAAAATGGGTGGCGTGGGGTGGTACCTTCTATTTTCAAATTGTAACCCAGGATATAAATTGATCATATGAATAAAGGTCAAAATTATACTTCTATCCCAAGATCTTTTGCCATGCAGCTTTTAATGCAGGAAATATAATATAGCTATTACTAAATACAGAACCAATCCCTTGCTGTGATGTCAAAGGATCACATCCAAATTTCTGATTGTGCCTGTAATGGTTTCTTAACTTGACCACTTCTATTCTGTAGAGAAACTGAAGTCAAAATACATATCCAAGGATTTAGGTGTTATTATTTGCTAACTAAGCCTGCTGCCCCTAATAATTTATACTGTGGTTCAGATGAAAACATTAATGACGTTTTATAAAACAAGAACTTTATTCCAATCCCCTTGCCTAGAGAGAATTTCTAATGTGGAACCCATGGGCTTGCTATAAGAATTGAAGCTGGTGAACTGGGAATTTCTGATTTTCATGCCAGAGAATCATTTTATAAGCAGACAGATGGCAGAAACCTTCAAGGCTGGGAAAACAGGAACAAAACAGGCCCAGGATTTAAACCTAAAGATTAACATATATACAGTAGAAGACAAGACCATGGGGTACTGTTAAGACCCCTTTGTACATATGGCCTCTTACTTCCCAGCAATAATTTTTCTTATACTAACCTTCCTGTGTGTCTGCCTGGGAATGTGAAGTGGGGAGAGATTTTAATCATGGTGCCTGGCTCTACATTTTGACACTTGTCTGTTTTGCATTCACAAGGTGGTGAAGACACCAGGCTAAAATCCAGGAGACTGTGAGTTCTAGTCCCACCTTAGGCATGAAAGCCAGCTGGGTGACTTTGGGCTAGCCACTCTCTCTCAGCCCAACTCACCTCACAGGACTGTTGTGGTGGGGAAAATAGGAGGAGGAAGGAATATTAGGTATGTTCGCTGCTTTGAGTTATTTATAAAAATAAGAAAGGCAGGATAGAAAAAAAAAATAACTTCCATCTTGCATCAAAGTAAACAATCAGAAAACACAACAAGTCTTAATCCAGGGAACCAAACCCTTGGCACTGTAAATAGTGCTGTTAATCAAACGCAAGCAATCTTTACCTCTTGAGGAAGTTCCAGTTTAGACCGATCTGTTCCCTCTTTGGACTGGAGACCCATCAAGTAAGGTACAGGAGCATCAAGGAAATGTAAGAGTGAGGCTGGAAGGATGGGGACATACACATGTTGCCACTGGAACGGGAACAGCAGGGTTGTGATCCCTTCTGCAACCGTCATCAGACGCTGATAGTCTAAACAAAGAAACCCAAAACAGAATTGCTGCTAAAATCCCATTACTTTCAAAAAACCATGAATATTTCAATGCCCAGCAGATGGCAACTGCAAAGCAATTTTTAAATCCACAGGACACACATTGTAATAGCCATTTATTAACTTGATTTAATGTGTAGGGAGTTAACTCCCTGTTTAAAATGGATTAAATTATTAACTCTAGAACTGCCATTCAAAGCAAGCTATGAAATGTTTAGACGCATCTAGCATGTAAATTCATTTTAAGACAGAACGAGAATTCACTACAGAGGTTAACCCCTGGAACTTATTTGAAGCACATTTCCATACAAGTACTTTCTTCACAATTATTTTGCCAGCATTTTATTTCAACGAATTCTGTTAGTTTATAGACGGAAAATGGCAAATTGAAGTTCAAATAAGTAGCCAGAGACTCATGGTATTAATGGTATAACTCTCTGAAGCTTAAATAGTTATAGCTGTAGTATCTTTTTTTGACTAATGAGCACACAAGTCTCACAGTTTAAGCTCATGTCCAACCCATATATAAAATACAGATGTGTTAAGCAAGACTAACAACAAGAAGTTAGGCACCAGGCTTTTAGCCTGACAGTCCATGTGTCTGGTTCAAAATAAAATAGTGGAATATTTAACAAAAACATTCCAAACGGGCGCTTGAGAAAGAGATACAGTGGTACCTCTACTTACGAACTTAATCCGTTCCATGACTCTGATCGCAAGTTGAGT